ATTCTCCAAAAAAAAAAAAAGAAAGCTTCCAGAGATACGTTACGTGCTTACCTGATTCATCGGCCCTTCGCTCTCCACCACCTAACGTATGAATGAATCTTCCGCCAGAACATGGAAAGATACACCGCCATATTTTTTGTCCTTTGTGCATGTCGCCCCGCTTCCCGATTCATGTTGCCCGTTGATAAGGGCGGTTTCTTTGGTCCGATAGTGTCAGCACACGGTTTCCTCTCTCTCTCTCTCTCTCACACACACACACACACACACACACACAACACACACACACACACCGAAAAGAGGCATCGCGCACGGTGCGCACCTTGCAGGGGTAGCGCGTCCACCTCGTGTGCGTGCGCGCGCAGTCTCAGCGCGTGCATTCCGCACGGCGCAGCGAACCGCACTAATGCGCCGCAAGTATGAAGAAAAACCTTTTATCATGTTGTTGATGGCAATCCTGAGCAGCATTTCCTCTCAGTCCACAAGTCTCTTCTCTTCTGTTTATATTCCTCCCCCCCCTCCTTTTCCCAAAAGAAGGCAAATATTGCTTTGAAGAAAACTTCTTTTCAAAGGTTATTGTGTCGATAAAAACTTATTTTCACAGGTCATTGTGTCCATCGCAGTGGTGAAGATGGATACGGAGACGAGCATGAGGAAGCAATCGAACCACAAGAAGATGAAGACAGAGAAGGGCAGGAGGAAGAAGAAGAGGAGGAGGAGGAGCTGGAGAATGAACAGGAGCAGGAAGATGAAGTCCGCAGTGAAGGACGACGATATGTCCACAGGCGGGACGGCCATGGCCAAGGGGCTGGCAGCGACGAAGAGGATACCCACGAACCGCACGACCAGGAAGAGGAGGTGGGAGAGGAGGTGGAAGAGGAGGATCGTGAGAACGTCCAGGATGAGAGAGAAGGTGGAGATGAGAGAGAGGAGGCTGATGTGGAACGTGATGGAGACGACGAAGATGAGCGCTTTGACGAGGTGGAGCCCGAAGCTGAGGCCGAAGCTGAGGCTGAAGCTGAGCCACAGAGCCGTAGACAATATAGGGTCGATGATGGGGATCAGGAAGAGGAAGAGGTGTACAGATCAGGAGGAGTGAGATTGCGGAGACGTCGAAGAGTAGAAGAGGAGGATGAGGAAGAGGAAGAGGAGCCGCCGCATGAGGCTGAGGAAGACGAAGAACGGTATGCAGAGAGAGATCGCGATGGTGACGAAGATGGCGAGGGCCAGAGAGGCATGGAGGAAGAAGGTCAGAGGGAGAGGGAAGAGGGAGACGAAAGGGAGGAAGAGGAGGTGGTTGGTGAACGAGAGGAACATCAGGAGGAGGAGGAGGAAGACGACCATTTGCGCACGGAACGGACTGGCAAAGCACGTCCTCGTGCAGATCTCTTTGGTGAATCGGACGACGAAGAAGAAGATGAGCAACCACAACAGGTAAAAAAAACAATCCTGAGAAACCATGATTTTATTAAATTTATTGTCTTTGTTTTTGTTGTTTTTTTTTTGGGGACAATGCTCCAATCTATTCATGGGGAGCCGCACGTGCCGGGAACCGGCCACAGCGACGGGCCAGCATCCCCTTTGAAACATATTTGAGAACATATACAGAAGAACCTGAGATACCGGGGCCATTTCCTGGCTTCGGCTGAAAATAGGATCATGATTCTTGAGCAATTACTACCCTATGAACCAAATATGAGATACCATGGCATGATCATCATTTATTTATTATCTCTACCAGGGTCACCAGCCTGTACGTATGGAGGTCCTCAGGCCGACCTCCGTACTTATGGACGTTCGGGGTCCGAACCGGAAGGAGTTCGGCCCCCGCCCAAAAAAAATTCGGGGCCTAAAAATAAATGTTTTTTTCTGAATTTTTTATTTTGAGTTCTCTATGATGCAAGGTACATGCCTATAAATTTTGAAGTCATTTTGCTAGGCCAAAACGAACTTAAAAATTGCCAAAGAAAGCGGTGTCGAAACATGCTCGCCCACTCACTATTTTGTTTTTTTTTTTCACTTTTTACTTTTTGTTTTCACTTTATTTCGGGGCCTAAAAAAAATATTATTTTTTGAAACTTTTTAAACGAGTTTTATATTATGTGAAGTACACATCGGGGCCTAAAAAAAAATATTATTTTTTGAAACTTTTTAAACGAGTTTTATATTATGTGAAGTACACATCTGTAAATTTTCAGGGCATTTGGCTATGCCAAAAAAAAAAATAAAAAAAAATCGCCAAAGATGGCAGTGTCGAAAACGTGCTCGCACACACACTAATTTTAATTCTCGTTTGATTTTTTCTTGTTTTTATTATTGCAAGGAAAATGAGCGATAGCGAATTCCGAAAACCAAGCAGCATCATACACATGAAACCAGATAGTCTTGACATCGAACCAAAAGCAGAATTGCAACTCGAGTTCCACCAAATAAGAGCACAGCAAAAGCTCACAAGTGACAATGTTGGAATAGTCTCATCATCATCAACAATGAACCAATGTGGAATCCCTATCTGGCCCTCAGCGCCCAGACTACGAATGGCAGATCCTATCTAGCCCATCTACAATGCTGCTAGTGATGTCAACAACTTGCCAAACTACGAGCGGATTTCGGCCAATGCCGTTCGCCTCAAGCACCAGGTATGTCTCACGCGTCACTCACAAGCTCGATCCCCCACACAGATGCAACGTGCACCTAAGGACCACCATGCACCCCATCCAGCTATGCGCAGGCCAGCTCGGCTATGGCTGCCTGCCTCTTCCCTGTTCGCCCGTGAGCGCGTAGGCTCTCGCTCCAGCAGCTGACGCAGCAGCGGCAGCGCTTGCGCATAAGCAGCGAGTGCCCAAATGCCAAATGCGGAGGCAGGCAGTTTCCTTTATGGAAGTGGCCTGCCTGTTGCATGCTGCCTGGCTGCACTGGGTCCCTTCGCAGAAGCGTCCGGTAGGCCCCAAGTGCCTGAGGCCAGAGTATTCCGCAGGGCCCTGGGTGGTTACGCATGTCCAACTGCCAAGCGTGCTGCGTGGAGTTTGTGCCCTGTGTCTGCCCATGGCCTGTGCCCAAAAACATAGGAAGGGCCTAGAAGGCCTTGACCGGATGCTGTTGCCCACGGCCTGGGTTCATTCAACCAACTGAGGCAGCATAACTGTCTGAGCCTCACTTTGCGAAAAAGGACGAAATACTAGAAATAGGCCTCATGTAATTTTACAGGGCCGTCTTCATTTAGGGTGGCCGTCCTTGCTGAGAGACCCAGGATGCTCAAGGTGGGCTGTGGCCTCACATTCCGTCCGCCATACTTACGACAGTCCTCTGAGAAGTTCAATCACTCAATCTGGTGCTTTCCTTTCTGCAGTGCCTTCTAATAGTGAGTGACAACCTGTGGAGCGGTCTGCATCAGTTCCTCTCTTGTGAACCATCTGTCCTCCTTAGGATCAGTGTGATGTCTGGACCATGATTGCAACTGCACGAGCCGGACATTCGTGCGGAGTTCCGTGCGGGGGGCGCCTGTGCAGAATCGTGCAGGTTTTTTATTTTTATTATTATTATTTTCTCTTTTTTTTGGGAGGGGGGACGGGGAGGCGTATGACAGGAAGATGGGGATATGGCGAGGGGCGGGGGGTATGGAGAGGAGGAGGAGGATGTGGAGGAGGAGGACGACGAGGATAGCAAGGACAACGAAGAGGAGTTGTTGAGATGGGGGAGGAGAAGAGATGGATGGAGGGAAAAGAGGAAGGGCACATTCCCTCCTCCATACTTATGACAGTCCTCTGAGAAGTTCAATCACTCAATCTGGCGCTTTCCTTTCTGCAGTGCCTTCTAATAGTGAGCGACAACCTGTGGAGCGGTCTGCATCAGTTCCTCTCTTGTGAACCATCTGTCCTGGTTAGGATCAGTGTGATGTCTGAACCATACTTGCAACCACACGAGTTCCGTGCGGGGGGCGCCTGTGTGGAATCGTGCAGGTTTTTTATTTTTATTATTATTATTTTTTCTTTTTTTTGGGAGGGGGCACGGGGGGGCGTATGACAGGAAGATGGGGATATGGCGAGGGGCGGGGGATATGGAGAGGAGGAGGATAATGTGGAGGAGGAGGACGATGAGGATAGCAAGGACAACGAAGAGGAGTCGTTGAGATGGGGGAGGAGAAGAGATGGATGGAGTGAAAAGAGGAAGGGCAGGAGGAGGAGGGCGAGTGGGAGGAGGAGGAGACAGAGCGAGGAAGGGGAGGACACGATGAAAGGGAAGGAGACGAGGAGGCATGGAAGATGAGGAAGTACGAGGAGGAGGAGGAGACAAGGAGGATGAGGAGGGCAAGTCGGAGGAGTTGAAAAGAAGAGAGGAGAAGACATGGAGAATGAGCAAGGTGAGGCAGCACTCCTGTAATTTTTTTTTCATCCCGCTTATAATTTTGGCGGGGGGCCTCAAACGCACTGTTTCGACCCCTGCCTTCTCTCTTTTGTTCTGAGGGGGGTGACGGGTCGTTCCCCGCGCACGTCGTGCTCCACACTGGATCGGTTGGGCGTGTGCGCCGCACGTCGGGAACCGCCCGCATGACGTGCGCTTGGAAGTATGGTCTGAACCGAACGCGATACTGTAGCTTCGGCTTTGGAGGACGGCCCCTACCAGTTGATCTTGGAACCGGCATTTCCCTGTGATCAACAATGTCGTCGATGTTGACCTCTCCATCCATGGTTGGGGGCAGCATAGACCGGCGGGAGGGAAACTGATCAGTTTCCTTGGAAGGTGCAAGTTTGGAGGCGTGGAAGACAGGGTAAATGCGAAGGTGACCAGGGATCTGTATTACATAGGAAGGCCCATCGGGAGCATCTCCGACAATGTCTAGAACCTCCCATAGTCCGAAGTACTGTGGCATGAGCTTTCGAGAAATCCCGTGCTCTTGCCCGAGTTTGGATGCCTTGACCCAGACTCTATCCCCAACCTGGAACGTAGAAGGGCGGCGGTGTTTGTTATGTGACTCTATCATCGCCGCCTGGGCTTTGTGCATGCTGTTCACTGGTTGCTGCATACGACTTTCGTATTGGTAAGCGAACTCCAAGGTACCTGGCACAGCAGTGGATTGGTTCTTGAGTAGTAAGAAATCTAGAGGCAGTCGAGGTTTAAAAGTTAGGAGCAGACTGTTGGGGCTCACCCCTGTCGCACTGTGCACAGCGTTGTTGTACAGGCTGGCGATGAGAGCAAGCTTCTCATCCCAGTCCACCTGATTAGGCTTAATGTAGTGCCTCAGCAGGTGTTGCACAGTGCGGTTCAGCTGCTCTGCTTGTCCATTTGCCTCTGGGTGGTTCCCGGAGGTCATCTGCAGCTGCAGCCTTCCACAGCTCACTCGCGAATTGTACACCAGTTACTAACGATGGACTTTGGCAGGCCAAAGAATCTGACCCAATTCTCTTTAAACCACCAGTACCCCCGAAGCAGCCTTCCCAAACCTTGTTAGCTACCGAACCTCTTTGTCTTATGGGAATCCAGCTTGCAAGTGGTCGTGATGAGGGGCTGACCGGTCCTTCAATGCTGGTGACCGGTACTTCAGTGCTGGTTATTTCGTTTTTTTTCCCGCCCTTGTTTTTTTTTTCTTTTTTTCCCTTCTTTCTTTTTCTGTCATACGTCTTCTTTTTGCCCATAGGGTGGCTGCTCCTGCCAGAGGAGCAGGCGAAGGCACGGATGGCGGGATCGTAGTCAGAGAGCCGTGAATGGCTCTATTGCCAGCAGTCATCATTCTTCAGCAGGGCCATGCTCAGCTTGTCTGTATCCTTCCATGTTCCAGCGTAAAGTTCATTCCCGTTTTGGTAATCTGGAAAAGAGTTCAGCGTGGGCCATTGCAAATCTCGTAGGATGAACGCTCCAATACTCAGCACTGTCCGCAGCAACCGCAAAAGACAAATCGTGGCAGTCGATCTTTCTTTTATTTTTTTCCTTTTTTCAGGACAATTTCTCAAAAAAAAAAAAAAAAAAGGGCCACGAAGCTTTGGTATGGGCCTCACTCCACTCTCTCGACATGCACAAACGACAAAAATCATGGCAGTGTATCTTTCCGTGTTCTAGCGGAAGATTCACTCTCGTTTTGCACATGTAGCGAGCAGTGGAGCGAGGCCCTATATTTCCATGTCCAAACTTGAAGCGAATCTGATCGCGTAGGATGAGGCATGGGCCTCGTTGCACTGCTCTCGACATGCACAAAAGACAAAAATCATGGTGGTGTACCTTTTCATAATCTAGCGGAAGATTCACTCTCGTTTTGCACATTTCGAGAGTAGTGCAGCGAGGCCCTGTATCTGTCCTTTATTTTTTTTTTTCTTGTACGCTGCGTGAGCGTCTTTGTTTCCAGAATTCGCACCGCTCCAAGAGGAACAGCCCCCCGCTCGCGCCGTTTTCAGAGGGGGATATTTTCTTTCGTTTTCTCACCTTTTTTTTTTTTCCTTGTT